ACGTCGGCCAGCAACAACCGGCTCATCCTCCTCCGGTTTTGCACCGTGAGCCTGCCCAAATACTCCTCTGCACGGACGAAGTCTTCCGGCACAGCTGTGAGCCACATCCCGTACACAAAAAGGGCTCAGTCGTAGCCTCCCTCCGCAGCAGCCCTTATCAATTCCACGCCTTCACCATCGTGGAAGAAAAAGTAGGCTTGCATCCCCCTCTCGAAAATAACCCCTGGATTACCCGCATCATGGAATCTCCTCATCATCGTTGGGTAATGTGGAACCGCCGCTTGTTCATGCACGATTTCGGCGGGATCAATGGCTCGATAGAAACCCTTGATTGTGCCGATACGGTTGAAACGAGAACAAACAGCACGGAGGCGGGCTATTTCCCTTATAGTTGGGTTTGAAGCGGCCAGAATTTGTTCCAGCAATTCATCAGGGAGTGAGAGAAGATAGGAAAAATCACCATCACCACCTCTGTTTCTCCTTGGAACCATCGTTTATTTCGGTGAAAAGAGAAAAGATAAGAAAATGGAATGAGGAAGAGGAGAAAGGATTGAAAATGGTACGAAAGAGGAAGTTATGATGGTTCTAAGTAAGTAGTTACGGTGAATGGATTGAATTTAAAGAGGTAGTGCGGTTTTAATAGAGCCGAATAGCTGTCTTTGAAGAGAGACGTTGAAAAGAGACGAAAATGTGTCTTTTCGTTCACCGGCAAAATTAAATTACCACAATAAATACAAAGAATTACCAAATCAAAGCAAATTTCACCAATTAACTTTACTGATGAATGCTTTAATGTACTTTTTGATATACCACAATACATTTATGATTTCTGAGACAATACTATTAGTATTTATGATATTATCGAAATTTCATTAACAAGACAGCCCTTTTATAATTGTTGGAAAATAAATTTCTTGTCATCATTACAGACGTTTTCTCAACATCACGTTAACCGAGATATAGAGTACAGATTGAGTCCACATAGACGAAATCATGAATTTTTTTTTGAAAATATGCGTACAGAAATAGGTAAGGTAAGGCTTTTAATAAATAATGTCGTGTGTATATCCATGTTCTCCGAAAATTCTCTGAAAACAGATAATGCCGTTTGTTTACTCAAATATATAATATGTGATAACTGTAACATTCAGGTGTACAAATTTAGGTGTACATATTGAGTCCAGATTGAGGTGTTCTTTTTTTTTTGTAGTTATTAGGCGTACACAGAGAGGTAAACTGAGACTTTAAAGATATAAGAGAACGGTTCTCGAAAAACTTGCACTACCACCCACCGAAATTAAATAAAGTCAGCACAATTAAAGTATCCATAGATAGAAAGCAAAACAAAGTACACCTACATACATACATACGTAGTAGGCCTAAATAAAATTTTAAATCTTAAAGTACGAAATAACAGCAACGCCGAGGTGTACTCAATTTAGGTGTACACACCAAGGTGTACACAACGCAGGTGTACACACCGAAACTGGTTGACTTGCACCAATCAGTCACCATTCTTCCATTGACGGCCCAGACGCGCTGCATACCAAACAAATACGAAGAACTTTTGTGTTTCCTGTGCCCAGAAACACGACGTGCACATGCTTGGCCCCTTTAATAATTCGTCATGCCAATCAAGTTGAGCATTGGCAACACCACAGCGACAAGACCAAAGTGTGGCAAACTGAGCATTAGTCTCAAATCTCCTCCTCGAGAACTCGTCTGGCAAATTAACATAACCACGCTCACATCCATCAATAATTTTCCGTATTATTCTCCTCATTGCCCCCCTGCCTAGTTTTGAAAGATACTCTAAACCCATGGGGTCTTCGACCACTGCTTTCATGTACATGCCATACATGTAAATACCTGTTTCATATCCCATATCTGCAGCTTCCTTGATGAGTTTTATGCCACATTTGTCTCCACGGTAGAAGTAGTCTTGCATACCCTTCATGAACAGCAAACCAGGATTGCGTGCGTCATACATCGTCCTCAACAAGTTGGGAAATTCCCAATACGCGATAAAAGGCATATCGAAATCTTCGGGAATAGGCATCTCCAATTCCACGGGATCAACCGATGCTAGAAAATTTTTGGTTAAAGTGCAGGCCTGGAACCGTTTGCAAACTTGCTTCAGTGTGAAAATTTGTTGGACGGAGTTGCAACTGTATTCGAGAACCTTCTCCAATAGTTCGTCGGGAAGCGCCATCAGAGGGGATTGACAATCACGGATATCCGCATCACATCGCCCTCTCTTTGGTGCCATAGTTAATTTGTGAGGTTCAATTGTGATGAAAACGGTTGTTTATGGAGATGGAATAACTGCGGTTTAGGATTTGTGAAGCGGAACGGTTCTTTATGTTGCATATATATAATAATTAAAAAGCCCACTAAATGACCGTATACATTAAATGCGGTTACCGTTAAGATTGTAAATGAGTTTGTAAAATTAGTGGATAAACCATAAATTTCCTTGTTGTACACCCAGTTGATGTACACCTAAATGGATATTGGTGTACAGGTACATATTTAGCCGGGAACAAGGTATTCACACAACAATTAATAAATACTAAAATAATGTGAAGTATAAACAAATTTGTCTTTATGTACTCCCATTTGATGCATATTGGTGTACAACTAAACGCTATTAGGTGTACGGATACGCAATTATTAAAGTAAACTAAATTATAAGCAAATTAAATAATCGACACACCAATTAATAGATAGTAAAGTAAACAATATTATAAGCATATAAATTATCAAATAAACCCACATCCTAAACATTATCAAACACATAATCCAACAAATAACCCTTGCATAAATTGTCAAGTTCAACATTAAACTTCAACATTCGTCCTAAGCGTTGGCAATAGCCGGATTTCCGACAAACTCTTCGTATGAGTCCATGGCGTATTTCTCCCTTAACCTGTCAACGTCATCGTCCGTTATCAAACCCATATCCTCCACTCCAAGGCCTGCAGCATGTATCTCTAAGAATTTGGCCGCACATGGACCACAGTCACCGGATCTTTTGTTCTGATATATGCCCTCCAAACGACTCCATGTGTAAGGGGTGGTGCGTAGGCCTTCCGTTAATTTGCTATCCAAATAACGCTTCAATATAAATGGCATACTTTGACACACGGGCGCCATATACTGCTCCACAGCCGCTTCATCATTATGACTGATGAATAAGTCCAAAATCTTTATGTTGCCCGTTTTAAAGTCAATTACAAGGCCTACCCAATGCTCAGACCCCCAGTTCATGGGAACGTATACAACGTCCACAAACCGTACAAACATTTGCCTCTGCCGCTGATTAGCCCACTTTGCTGGTTTTCCCAATACAATGCCCTGAATGGTTTTCCCCCAGTCATACTGATTTTTGTCTCGCGATATGAAATCGTTGTAGTAGTTGTCGATGATGGATATGAACAAGGTGTCTACAAATGCTACCCTGTCTTTCAAGTATATTTCACCTCTACGTCTCCAAAGCATGGCCATTATGACTTGCATGTGCTGACGAAAAACAAAACATAAATAACATATAATACAGATAATTAAAGATTGAGTAAGTACTAACTATATACTTACCATTGTGTTAACCCACTCAGTAGGCTTCGCAATTTGTAGGAAGAATTGATTGTTCACAGTGTGACCAGTGACAATGCAAAAGTCGCTGTAATGAGAGCAATTGGTAATTGATTAGAATGAAAGTTTAAGGATAAATTGCTTTCAATACGATATAACTTACATGTTTCTTTCACGCGATAATAACTCCTGAAATGCCTTGAAGTGGTCTTGGTCAACTGTTTCGAGTGGTTTGTACGCAGCTTTCGATCTGGATACAAATAGAGCTTTCACCTTTGAATCAGCGGTGTAAATATCTCGAATCTTGTCCGACCGTACACGTGCGCGTTTTGCTCTACTTCTTCCTCCTCTTCCTGTTCCTCTACCTCTTCGTCCTCTTCCTGTTCCTCCACTTGTTCTCCTTACACCAGACGATCCCTCAACTTCTTGTGGGGGTTTTGGAGTACAAGGGGTCTTCTGCGAAGCATCACTTGCATCCTCAGGCGCAGTATGGTAATCTTTCCCCGCATTTGAGTCGTCCTCATTAGCCACACCCTACAAACCACTGTAACAATAAAGCGTATAACATATCAATCGTATACCTAGCGTATACCTAAAAACTACTGTATACACATCCATATCATATGAACAACTTTAATGTCTGACCTGTGCATCCTGCGCATCTGTCTGCGCTTCATGTTTCTTATATGCGTAGCTCAATGGGTGAGGAGTCTGAGGTTTGTAGACTACTAAGGGGCCTGACACCAAATTTGTTCTACCACCATCCACCTGAATAAGTCATAAAAAACATAGCACATTACACCCACGTTATGAAACTTAATAGAGTCAGCTGCTGACTAAACAATTAGCTCACCTCGTTGAGGCCATAAGGAGGAATTTCATCCGGAATGACGAAGTAAGGAGGTGGACGAGTTGTTCCTGAATTGGCTTGTCCCGGTTCAGGGGTCATCGTCGGAGCTTCTGGAGTCTTCAAGTACGCATGGTCCCTGGGAGAATAATGGTCCCCGCCGTAGTATGTAGAGGTCCCTTTTTCATCATCTCTTTCTTTCTGGTGTACACCATCTTCGGGGTGTACACCATCATTATGGCGTACGCTAGACTGTGCCCCTCCATCTTCGGCTTCGTCTTCATCTTCATCCGCTTTTTCACCATTTTTTTTTGTATTTTGTCCTTCGTCATCCTGTTCCCCATCTTCTTTTGACTGGTGTACATCGTCATCTTCTTCGTCCTCTTGGTATACGCCCAATCTCTTGTCCAACTCGGTCTTAATCTCACGAAGGAGCAAAGTATTCTGAAGTACTATCCATCTTTTAAGATCTTTAATCTGTCCACTTTCAGGTGTTTCATCTTCTGATAGATTAGAAGAGTTCTTGCCCCTGCCTCTCTTCCTCAGCATCTTACGTTTTTCAGTTTGATGAGTTTTCTGTTTCTTTTTTCGGTCGGGTGGATGGCTCAGGTTCCTGTTCATTGGTAACCTCGTCCTCTGCATCACTAATATCCACGATAGGTGCCGGTGCCACTGCAAAATCCGAAGGTGTGAATTTGTACCCCTCGGCCATGAGTTCCTGCATGAATGCAACTTCGGCATCCTCTACCTCATCTCCCCAACGCAATTCATTCTGTTGGTCATTCTCACCATCATCCACTACCATCTGTTTCACAGACAACTAAGACAAAAAAAATACAATTGCAAAATTACCAACCAAAATGACAGAGCACTTATCTTTTAAGAGAAGTACTACAAAATAAGACTACAAATAGTACTAAATATAATACTACAAATAATTTACCAGAGAGTCGGATTCCACGGCATGTATGTCCCCAAGATGCAACAGTGTGATAACGTTTTGACAGCCTTCGGGATCTTCAAGGAATGTCTTCAAGTTATCAGGTTGAGGAATTTTGGAAACCAACATTGGTATAGATTGGAGGGCCATGAGTTGTAGTGATAGAGGGAATCCATAGCATGCACTGGTTTTCTGTTTAAGTTGACGGCGCAATCGTGTTACAGGATTCTCCCTTTTCTCGGCATCCGTGATTGCCTTCATAGCTTGAAAACGAGATACTGTTTTGTTAAAGGATACCCTCCCCCATGGATACAGCATGAACCTATCCAAGTCACTCAACATCTCAACGTATTTCTCGGTGAGGGCCAGATTTTTGCTATTGCAAAACAGAACACCGTCGACAAGAACGATTAGGGCCAATGGAAGCCGTTTCCATCGGGGTAGATCCGGGTCCTTTAGCATTTCAAGCACATCATACACGTTCATAGCCTTCGCTCTTCCGAACAGGTCTTTCCAGATTCCTGTTTTTCCGACTTCTTCTTCTTCTTCTGTGCTATCAGGTTCGGGATTGCAATTCAATCCAGTGATTTCCTTGAACTCCCGTATCGAATATCTCAGAGGCTGTCCACCAAAGAGGAACCAAATCTCGTGTTTCTTCGTGGTCACAAGTTGTCGTGATAGAAGGGCATGGACAAGTTTGGCGCTGTTGCAACATCTTGCAACAGGTAGATGGAATAACTTCCCAAACTGGGAATGAAGTAGCTTCTCAAGATCTTCAGTACCCTTTAACGCCTCGACAAGGAGGCCAATTACATTGGCCTTTGAATATATGTTCAACCGAGCACCAACGGGGTAGCAACCATCGCCGAGGACTCTTTTTGGTAGTTTTTCCGAAAGGTTATTTGAAGCTTCTCCATCTTCCATGCCTGTATTTGAAGGTTCTCCGTCTTCCATTCCTGTATTTGAACGAAAACAACAATTCCGAAATGCACGAAAAGATATAGTATTCTGGATAAACAGTGAAATGCAAACCCAGGGGAAATGTTTGAGGGAAAGGAGTTCGAAGGAGTTCGAAAGAGAGAACATATATCTGGGAAAACTACCTTATTCGTATGCTCTCCTATAAAAAATTCTGTAACTGTTTCTAGATGATATAAGAGTAATCCAACCGTTTGAAATCAATATGTAGACATAAGTACTACAGTTCATAACCGCTAATACATAAATGAAGCCAATTAGCGCCCCGTTTCAATCTTAATTTTAATTACAAACCGCCAGTACAGTTCAGACAAGGTCGAAGTTCATAAGTGTAACTTACTTTTAGAATTTTGAGCAGGCCATTCTAGAAGAAGAGGAGCGAATTGTACTTTGGCTCTACACCGCCGGCGTGGATTCAGACGACTCGAGTGAATGGGATGTTCAACCCGGTCACTCCGTCGCAGTGGCACGGGCGGCATGGGCGAGTGGTCCGTTGGAGCTGTCTTCGAGTTACTCCGGAGCACTCACCTCGACACCGGAGGCACGGTGTTGTTGCGCCTTAACGATTTTCTTACTTTCCGCGCCATTACAACGGTAAATCGGATGGCTAATCGGAGATGAATTGCCGGAGATGCTAGATAGACGACGTCCAGATGTGGATCCCAAATTAAATTTTTATTTTAAATGTTGGGGTGTCGATAAATTATACATTTGGTTTTACTTTGGTTTATGATATTGGACTTCGGTTGATAATTTTGTGTAATCGGTTTACGAAATCGGATTTAATCAGGAATTTTTAGTTATTTTACTTCGATAATGGCAATTCCGAAAATAAAATTTGCCTAAGGGCCCTTGTGGGAAGACAAACAGTAAAAACAGCCCTTTCCTTCTATGGTTTTTAAAACATCCTATTCCTCAAATTTAAAACTTAAAAACATCCCATTCAGCAATTTTCTCATTTTTTTACCCTATAAATCCAGCTTCTTCGTATTGGTGTTCTCTAAAAATCTTGAATTCTCTCAGATAATACACCATAGACTCTTCAGCTTCTGCTCGCGTTGAGAAATCTCGATGGTGATTTCTGCAATGATGAGATTGTTTCCAGGTTGGTTCACTTCTGGGTGTTCAATCAGATGCTCAAATCTCTGCTAATATGTCACTTTCTTTTTCTTTCTCAGAGATGAGCCTTCTCCTGAATTCTGCAGATTCTTCATCAGATACGAATATGGGATCTCGGTTTGTGACTTTTTATATTCTTTAACAGAAATATTTTAGATGATCTTTGATTTATGGTTTCTATCTCTATGTTTTTGACAGATATGTATCCTTTTTATTAAAAAAAAAATAGCGGCGACCCTTCTGTAGATGGTTCATCAGAAGTGAACGTTGTCTATGAGTTTGTAATCTTTTGGATTCTTTAACATCAATCTTGCAAATTGATTTCTGGTTTGCATCTTCATGTTATAGAACTTCAATACGATTTTAACTCTTTTATTGGTATATATTACATATATACGTGTGATGAACTGATTTTCCAGGCTTTATCAAAGATCAATGATGAACATGATGTGAGTGGTCTTGATGTCGATGGGATTTTAATTTGAATACCATTGATTTCTCCAATAACTTTAACAGGAAACCTGTTTAGTCTTGGTTTGATGATTCCTCCATAGTGCTTGATCACCATCCTGCTATCTTCTCTACGTTTTCTTCTGCTTATGACATATATATACATACAACAGCTGCTTTTTATCAGATTTCAGTTTCAGTTCTTTGATTGAAAGCAATCAATTCACCGTGAATGGTACAAGTACAAAGAATAACGAAATTAGAGGTTTGATTAACAGAGAAGGATACATGAAAAGCAGAGAGGCTTGACGAACACATGAGCTACTCTTGAATCTTTCATCTGTAATGTCTAAAAGGTTTTATTCTTCTTCTTGATAACTTAGAGTTTTCAAGGCTCTAAATGAGGGGTTATCAATCCCTTTTGTCACTTTGCAGTACAAAGGGTATCAATCCATCATGTCTAGACACTAAGATGCAGTATCAGTTCTTAATTCAAGCCAAATGAGTGAGGTTTTGATGATTAATGACAACTAAGAACTCAAAACAAGGATTAAAGCTAATGATCAACTTAAACAAGCAAGTAAATAAGCTAAATGAGATGAGAATGTATGTATGATGATGAGAAAGATCTTAGACATGATAGTGGATTAGGGTGCCTTTAGTGCTAAACTAGTGAGCTAATGAATCATGTGATCAAGCAAACCATTCAACTTAAACATCATTAATTAAGCTAATCTGCTCATTAAGGTATTAACTTCTATGCTAAAACAGTTTCTAACCTAATCATCATTAGTGAAACATGAATCAACAAGCATTGAGAACCAGTTTAATCTGTCATTAAAGCATATAAACAATCATTCCCATGATGAATAATACTTAAACCTCTAACAACATTGGTTCAGGCATTTCATCAAACACTTTTGGTGCATGAAATGCCCAGAATCTAGACCACATATGATGTGTATGGATCTAGCATTAAAAACAGGTTGTAGAGAATGGAATATGAATGATCTAACCCCTAAGCTCACTAATCTACCACCTAAGCACCCTAATCTACATATCTAAGACCTTAATATGGGGATTACTCACTAATCATGCTGATCTCTCTTAAACCTTTGCAAGTTGAGAAGATTGGCATGATTAATGATGAGAAAGATAGATGGAGAAGATAGATAATGATGGATTTGCAGCTTTTAAACACAAGATCTCTTAAACTCTCTTGATTAAAACGCCCAAAATCAGATATTTCTCTTCAAAAGGAGTTTTCTTACACAAAAGAGGCAAAGAGATTATGGAATAAAGCTTCCGTCCTTGGGATAAAACCCTAAAAACTATATATAGGTCTTTAAAACAGACCGGATCAGCCCGGAACAAACCGGGTCCTGACCCGGCTTTAATGGATAAAATGACGAGTGTGCGAGTTGGTCAGGAGCCTCCCAAGTCGCATGCCCAAGTCGCACAGCCAAAGAAGCAGTCTTGTGAGCCTTAAGTCCCTTAGTCTCAGCCGCATGCCCATCTAGGTGTGTTTTGCGAGTCTTTGTGCGATTCAGTCTTCTTCCTCTTCAACTCGCATGACCAAGACGAAATCTGGGGAGAATATGTGTGCGACTTGGTCCTCCTTTAGTCCCAAGTCGCATGCCTAACTCGCACAGCCAAAGAAAGAAGCTTGAACGAGATAGAACCCATGTAAGCTCAGCCGCATTACTCTCTCGGTGTGATTTGCAAACCATCATGCGGCTCAGTTCTTTTTTGCTCCTTAACTCGCACGACCATGTAGCAGGGGTCTTCAGAGATATGTGCGGGATGGTCTCCATCACTCCCAAGTCGCATGCTCAAGTCAGTGTAAGTTGCGAGTCTTCATGCGGCTCAGTTTCAAGCTTGGCCAACTCGCATGCTCAAGTCGCACAGTTGTGGACTTAGTATTTTTCTTGCTCGGGAACCTTGGACCTTACCCAGTGATACCTTACTCGCACATCTCAACACGCAGCTCAACTCCCAGACATTAATCTCCAAGCATTGCGAGTTAACCAAGTCGCAAGACTATCTCGCAGCCTTCAGGTCTCCTCGGACCACTTCACATTCAGGGGAGAGTAACTTCCATGATACTGGTCTAAATGACGCGATTCCAACTTCAGTAGAAAGAGTACTCAGATATCTTCAACTTTGGTGAAGGAACCTTCGGCGCTTGGGAAGTGGAAGGTTCCCTGGAGGGCTCATCTTCGCAGTGCATTGACACGGTCAGGAAGAGGCTTCTAGACATGCGTCCATTCCAGAAACGTTATCTTGTTGCTCACAGCTCCAAATTGAATGATCTCAAACGTTCTGGAAAGAGGACTCAAATATCTCGGATCTTGATGAAGGCCTTGTAGACTGAATCGGTCTGGAAGTGCATCGTCCTTTGCATTCTTCGGAGCTCATCGGGTCGGTCCAAAACGGCAGCGAGACAAGCGTGCCTTCCGACGAGCTTAACTCTCTGCTCACGGCTCCAAATCATATGATTCTACCTGCTCTGGAACCACGATCCAATCCTCTCCAACTTTTGATGAAGCACACGACAACTGAATAGACCGGCAAGACCTTCGGATAATGCGATTTCTGAGATGTGTCTTTACCCGGAAATTTTGGCCGAGAAACCTTAGCAGCGGTACGCGTTTTGGCCGAGGGGCTCACTCGCGGTACATGAAAATCGCCGATAAAAGTTGCCTGCGGTACGTGAGACTCGCCGAGAACTTCTAAAAACCCATTTTCACCATCATTCAAGTCCTGATCGCCATTCCTCTTCCTGGATCCACCTTTTCAACTCCAAATAGCTCCAAATACACCTGATAAACACTCCAAACATGCAAAGACTCATTAGGACCTAATGCAACTCCTAAGTCCTAAAACAAACCCTAAAGACCTAAAATGCATGAAATAAGATATGATTTGAAATTAAATATACAACCTAAATGATGCAAATTATGAACATATCAACTCCCCCACACTTGTCCCTTGCTTGTCCTCAAGCAAACAGAGCAAATGAGAGAAAGAGGTTGGATGCATTGGGAGTTCATATTCCTTAATGAGAGAGTGTATCAGTAAAAGAATTCAAGGCTCACTGTCCTAGTTACTAATTCTAAGATGCATTGCAAACAAGATTACTCACAAAACTTTAGCCATACTTATCAATAAATGAATCAAGCTCAAGCTTAAGTTTTCACAAACAGCCATAGTTCCAACCTTTTGACATTCATTAAAGCTCATGTGAATCATGCTTATGCAAATCATGTGAACTCACTTGTCTTGGGACAGGGTCATGAGACAAAGATGATCTCATTTAATGTTTATGGTTTCCATGCAGCCCAAGGGATCACTCAAGAAGGAATAAACTTTAACAGAATGCTAAGGGTAAAAGGCAACTGGTGCAT